CGACAAAAAAAACTAGGCATATATAAAACGGTGACGATCTTCCCCCACCAACCTCTGCTTGGAGAGTAATGTTTGTGGTCAGGTAATGAAATGTACATATATGTAGGTGTGGTTAGGTGAGGTGAGGCGCAGAGAGAAAGTAAGAATGAAAGTAGATCAAGTGAGTGACGTCAATGAAAAGTTGACTTTTATCTCAATCCTCTTCAGAATCCAGTCCAGTAGTCTAGTTAGCAGGCTTATAGAACTGGGGGTTTGGTGGTCTTCGGCTGTTTTCTGAGTAGCCCAGTTCTAAAAACGGGGGTAATTCAACCAGCTGTGTGTTGTCTATATATGCAATCATAAAATAGCACATAAAAATTCCCAAATGAAGACCCCCAAAACCCCCAGTTTTTGGCATGCTATGGAGGCTATAGTCTAGTGCCGTATTGTGTAATGCCCTCTGGCTTTTACTTTTATACTATTTGTTACCGTTATATGATAGCACAAGTTGATACACGTAACATGCCGAATATCCATACGACATGACGGTTAACACGTATGTATGCGCGGTCATAGTAGCCAAGGCATGTCATTCGAACTTTGAAATGACTCTCAGAAGCATCGATCGCAGAAGTATTTTGTATAGTACAAACTTTGCCATTGGAATTTTGTAACAGCTTCGCCCACTTCTGCAAACATGAACTTGACCGTTCATTGTTCATGACAGGAAGTCATGACTAAAACTCTTGAAAGTGGGACGTGCTTGACTAGAAGTAGAAAGTATGCTGAATGGTCAGGTCCTTTTTTTCAAACACTTAACTTCCGGTAATGTACACCTGTTGAGTAAATATAGGTTAAAACGACAAGGATATGTTTTTTCCCCCAATATTAAGCAATATGTTGTCCTATTTAAATGACATTTATACAATTTTAGAGTTTATCCTGACAAGCTTTTGCGTTGATAGGTATTAGCCCCTCCTTCTCTTTCGGCCCGGCTCTGCGCTGCTCAAAAACGACCTCTGTCGTCCTATTTATGAACTGCACAAATATGACAACCAAAGCTCAGAGAGTCCGAATACACAACGTGTATTTATTGGTGTACTTGTAAACATCTTAAACAGAGAAACCCAAATTCTCTACTCCGTTTCCACTTTGGTTTTCGCGCACATCTCCAGCAACTTCATCTTTTGTGTTTTCGTCACTTTTGGTCTTCCTCTCTTGACGCAATTCTTCACTAGTTCTGTAAAAGAAATAAATGGATCTTGTCAACATCTATTCGTGGAGAGAAATTTATCAATTTTACCATGCAGGTAGAAACACATCCGATATATTAAATCCATGATTTTACAAAGAATGAATGAGTAAGAAGTTACCTAAAGTTGGAATATCAATGCCCATCCTTGGTCAGAAAATCATAAACAAACACATCAGTTGAGGACCAGAATTCGAACAAACAACAACAGGCCAATATTCTGCTATTGAAAGCCAATAGGCAAGGAAAACTTGAGCTTGTTATCACCTCATCTGTTCTAGAGCTTCCTTGGTTTTCTGTCTCATCTCCTCCGTGACTGGATACTGCCACAGGACCACCAGGCTGGCCAGGAGGGACAACATCGGCAGTAACGTGACGTTCCACCGGATAGCTCTGCCTACTGACTCAGACTGAACACAGTTGCCACTCTCGTAACCGCCGATTCTGCGTGTGCAAAAGAACAGATTTTCATACAACTATTCCTTAAAAGCAAACAAGCAGAGCATGCTATGTGGTCCAGAGAAAAGAGTAGTTGTGAGAAAAGCAAACGAGTAATTATGCCTTGTCAAGAACATGTGCCCCACTATCTAAAAACTTTCACAGAAGCCACGTGACAAGCTCCACTGGGTCAGTCTAATGAAGAAGACCAGAGTGACTGGTCAAAGCTCTACGCCAGTGAGAGAACTTTGTTGTGTTGGATCAAAAGTTCTAACTTTAAACTTCAAAGATCAAGGATCAACATATACATTTACTGAACTTGTATTCGTCAGTACTCACTCTAGTGTAGCTGAAATAGCGCCAAAGGCGACTGCCCCTGTTACCCGCTGTGCGGTGATGAAGACACCGTGTAGAACCGTGTCATAACTCCTGCCTGTCTGCAGCTTCAGCAGGTCCGAAACATCGGACAACATCATCCTTGGAAAGAAATTATACACAAACTAGAAAAAGTAACATTTGCAAAGCAAATGCCTAGTGTTTACCTTCGCATATGGTCTGCTTTGTTAATTCTTACTCAAATACATTCATGTATATGGTCAGGAGTATAAATCCCTCATACTATAAAATTGCATGCTTCCGTAGTTTACAATGTACATGTATATACATATGACGTACCATGGCACAATGAACGGTACTGAGTAGGCCATTCCAAGTACCGCGATGAGGGGTAGAACAAAAACAAGATCACCGGGCACGAACAGAAGTCCCAAGAAGAAAGGTAGTAAGATCTGCCAGGAAGAAAATTATAGACCGGTTTATGCATTTAGAAGATAAGAGAGATGCTTATCTACGTATTCTACTGTCGTTGCAATGTTTGTTTCGCTGATGCTTTATTAGACTAAGATATTGGAGGCAAAATCATGACAGATTTTAGCATCCCGTTTCTATCCTTATGCTGAGGTCACATTTCCAAACCGGGGCCCTGCTTGGAGATAATTGCTTTAATTGATCATTGATACATAACATTCATCGGTTTGACTTTGAGATTATTAAAAAATGTGTTTAAGTTACGAAAAATGCAGTGATCGAAATAATATAATACAAGAACACGCTGATCCCTTGCTCGTATCCAACACAAATACTGATATGACACTATGTCATGTTCTTTGATGAAACCTTCGATGACAGAGACTTGAACTTGCATTTTAGATGCTTAAATCCGTGTAGGGTTAGTAGGAAGTTACAAGACATGGCCGTGCTCAGTGTTTGGGCCGAACCAAAGAGGGAGTATTCAGTAGTCTTTGAGTTGCTTTCTTGTTTAGCCACTTAAAATGCAGATGGCTGAAGTAATACTAGTACAATGTACAGTGGTTTGTACAAGGGCGTTCAAGTGTCCTAACTGTACTATAATAACAAATACTTTCCATTAAAAATAGTGAATTGTCTTACCAGTATATTGCCGAATGAGACAGGCCTCTTACCAAACCTGTTTATCAGCACCATAACAACAGGAATGCCGACCAAACAGGAGCCCTGAAAATCCAAAAGGGAGCAGATGATTGGATATAGTATTGCAGTGTACCTAGTATGGCATCGAAGGCAGCGAGGATACATGTAGATCTAGTAGCCAAGCGTGGAACACTAAAGAAAATAGAGTTACGAAACGTACCTGGTACCAATACAATCAATATTTACACAGATAGAAGACAATGAGTTTAAGCTGATATAAGCTTGTGAAATATTATGTTAAGTAATATTTACCACAAGAACGAGGAGACAGTTCTGCACCTGACTTCCGAGGCCCAGGGAAAACTGAACATAGAGCGCCACACTTTGTTGAAAAACCTGGATAGAATCATAGAAATTTTGGAAAAAAATATCATTAATCATCTAAAACTTTTCTCCTAGCTCTGTCATAAAACGGAAATGCTAATCATCATCTGATATGTACATGTTGCGCCAAACATCTCCGGATCCATCCAAAGGCTTGTTCTTTCTTTAATTTTTTTAACGTTATCTATTGATAAAGCTTTATAAAAACAAATTTCATATAGGAGGAAAGAACTGTATTTGGACCAACTTACAGCGCCGGCTGTGTGGAAGAGAAATAGCAGACAAAGTGCACAGGCGGAGGGTTTATGCGTCATCACTCGCTTCAGACTACTTCTCAACGACTCTTTGGTCCTCTGCTCTTGGAATGCTGTGCTCGAATCCACACAATTGCAAAATTAAGTTAACAAAAAAATGAAATAAGAAGGCTAAGCAGTATTGAAGGCTAAGCAGTATTGGAGATGAAATAAAGTTCGTTCTAAATATCATTTTATTAGGTTGATTTTTAACTGAAGGTGACCATTGTTTTAACTTACCTGTTGGTAGGAAAATAAGATTTTTGACAAATAATTTGTATGACGTCAAGAGACTAATCGAGGTGACTGTCAATTCCGTCTACTTGCCGAAGCGACGATGGCCTTCTTGATGGCACAGAAGGCATAAGAGTACGTATCTCCTTCTATTATTATTATGACAAACTCTTGACACTACCTGTCCGCTCTGTGACGGCTGTTAGTGTTACAGTGACGAAGATCAGAGCCACGAGACAGACGACTCCCGCCGCCACCAGGTAACCGGTCTCCTGGTACAGGAAAATACACCCAAACTTCAAGACCTACTTTATAAATATGATACACTAACTCATAAAATGAAATAAAAGTCTATATAAAAACATTATTGTATTTTTAATGTAGTAATTTATAGACCTTCAAACATTGCGATGATCAAAATGTGGTAAGTTTGAGATTTATATCCCGGGTAACACAGTGTGGCATTGGAGACGAGACCCAAATGTTGGTCCCTCGTCCTTTCCTGTTGGCTCTCAATGCCTCTATTTTAACACAACTTTAAGTGTACTATCCAAGCAGAGGTTTTGGGGGAAGGTTGTGACCTTTCTAATATGCTACATGTATAATATGCCCCGTTTTTTTTCTATCGCTACCCCCAATAACTGCTTGTAGAGGCAGGAACAAACAGTCGTATACGTACCTGTCTATCTGTCTGTACAGTGCTTGTGACATTGCTGCCCGCACTAGTGTTGACACTACCGTTGCTATGCTTACAGGTGCCGGACAGAGACCCGTCGAACGCTGCGACGACCTGACCTTCAATGGCTACACCAGCGACCATCCCGATCAGTCCAGTGGCAGATCCTTCACAGTAGAGAAATGATAGTTTCAGTGCAGTGCTTATTCGCCATGCATAAATTAGTCACATTTTCTGTCTATATGCATGTAATTGGCTAAGTATACATGGTTTGCTCAACTCCCGGGCTTGTAACGCCGTATACCGCTTTTGCCATTATAATTATGATAAATCGCGTATTTAATAGTACATCAGGTTCCAAAAACAGGTTGTAGCAGACTAGAAATGCTTCCTTTCACCATGATTATTATTTCCCATATCGGACTTACTAAATGCAATAGCTGATTCCCTGTCGCTGTTGTCGTCACTAATGTGCATCACGAGCGTTCTGTGGGCCAGAGTGACGCCCTGGGTGGGGAAGAAAGCTGTCAATGTTACAGCAAGTCCATCACAAGATGGAAATAGCTGGGCAGAGGTGGACCAATATGCACTAATAGTCGGTGGCTAACAGAACGTTCTAGACTTAGGCCTGGTTTCATAGTTCACTGACAGTGCGCAATGTTATAGTTTGACAGAATACTTACCGAATTGAGAACACTCTCCATGATATAAAGAGCCACGAAATACGCAATTTTACCCCCTGGTGCCACGTCTGGGACATACCACACCAGCATGTAGAAAGGGATCATAACCAGGGTACAGCCCAGAATCCTGTATAAAGATAAAGGTGCACAAATAGCCGTGATGTTCAGGCCTTTTGTCGCTGTGGGCCTTCGTAGTTTCTAGGCCATGCCCCCTCATGCCAAATATGGCGGGGGACCGATTTCCACGGGAGCCAAAATTTTAGAACACCTCAGCCTGCTAAGATATTCGTTTAGTACCAAATTTGTATTGGTTATGGAGCTAGCCATAGGTAGAAAGGAGGGGGCTATTAAATTTTGACGTTATTAGTATCTTGCGTTGACTATGAGCACAGAAGATTTTGTTCGGGAGAGTGATAGTTTCGATCATGTACTATCGTCGTAATATATTGGAGTACAGTTAAATGCTCACCATGGTTTGAGTTGTCCCCATCGTGTATTTGTTCTTGTAATAAGAATAGTGAATACAGGGTAGGCAAAGATTTCTGACACTCGACTGAGGACGCCGGCCAGGAGTAGTCCAAGGGGTGAAATCTCATAGAATACAGGAAAATAAACCCATAAAGCATAATATTTGTAATGATAACACAACATAATATGGCAAGCTACGAGATATTTTTCTGAGGTACAATATGAATCATAGATAGGGTCTAGTGAGAAACTATAATTCAAACAATGGATAAAAGTGGCAATGTAAATCCGACAAAAATTTCAACTTGCAAATCACCCAGAGAGCAACTTTTAATTTCGACTGTTTCCAACAATGTTGTATGTTGTAGAATGTACTTTACATGGGCCACTGTTACTAAGAAGTAGTTGAAGAAGAAGTTCAGCACGTGTAGAGTTGTCATGTATGGCAGGGCGCCGAGGCCGTAACACACTTTCTCCAACGTGGATGGTCGATCTGCTGTTTTCGCCATCTATGCAGAATAGTTAGCAAAATACAGTAAATGGTTTAATCTCATGGTGTAACTTTAACAGTGTGCTACAAGATTTCCAGTTATGCAGTAGGTTTGCAAAGGTTAGGTGTGAAAGGGCATGCCATGCACATACCTGACTGTGTAGTTGTTGTGTATAACGCCGAAGGGCAGTTACACTGCAGCACAACAATACACAAAGGCTTGGACAGATATTGTTCCATAAAACAGTTTCTACTTCTGACAACCACATAACATACGGGTTTGCATCACCGTTCAACATAGCAAACACGAGAGCTGGAAGTTCGATACATGCCTTGAATTGAGGTCGACTTCTTGAGGTCACAAACTACGTACATGTGTATTTAAACTATTGTACGCTGCATGCAGCACACGCTTTTGACCGAATGCACACCACCGGAAAGAACCAACCTCTCCCTTGACACAATCACGCCCAACGTTGATTTTCGGACATTTAGTAAGAAACACTTACCTTAAGCTTCGTAGGACGTTCTAAAACTTCAATTCTACCCGAAAAGGTTGTTTGTCTCAAGGCCATACTAATTATGCCTAGTTCGTCAGACCGGTTCACCTAAAACAAGGATCACTTCAAAACTCTTGTGATGCATCAGTGGTAATTATATTCTTAAAGATGATTTTTTTCGGTAAAATGATGAAGAATTTGCTCTGTACGCCTCATCTTATTTTATTGACTGAATACTGTGTTATAGTTGTCCCAACATTGTGTATGTGCCAGACAAGTATTTGGAAGAATGATTGCGTCAGTTTTACAGTAGTGCCCAGATTTAGAAACAGAACCCCAACGTGATTGCGGACCTTGACGTCCACAACTTGGACGGTAGCTAGATATATAGAGCAAAGTACGGTGCATTTCGTTGGTGTTTTAGCTTTTGTCTTCATACTGATTAGAGAGAAACGATGCAGGTGTTGTAGAGCACAGACAACTTACGGTACCCCTGTCAGAACCCCAAACTGTGTACTCACGCCCCCTTTGAGTTTATTACAGAAGTGCAAACATTACGTTGGTCGTAAAGAATGTTGCTCTGGGTGGTAACGGTACTAGCTGTAACCGGTTAACTGTGTCAGCAAGGAAAATAAAGCGGGTATTAAAGTAGACGCCCGACTCAGGTATGTGGTCAGAAATGTATTGCTGTTAATAAATGACCAACATTAACATCACGCAACCGTACGTTCAACAATGAACGAAATCAGGCCACGTGTGGCCTCACACATTCTATACATAGTTGCCAATGACGAAATCTGCGGCTTTCTTTCATGAAATAAGAGAGTTGTTGCATCACTTCTCTCCACCCATATTACACGTTTCTGCCACCCATCTAGCACGTTTCTACCACCCATATAGCACGCTAAAACGAGAAGAAAACGTAATACCTGACATCATTTTTTGAATTCCACAAAGACTGCATGTTATATAGACATAGGAGCTCCTTTTCACCAAGAATTATACACATGTATTCACAGAATAGAGCGATCCAATATGTGAAAGCAATATGTGAAAGATACGTACAAGTCATTCAAGTGATTTTATCGTTTCTATGTTAAGTTCCAAATATCAGCAAACGTTGTTAAAATCTTGTATCGGATGCAACGAGGCCATTGAAAATATCATTCAGTATACTATATATATGTTTCGTTAATGTACAAAATTATTAATCTTCTAAAGAAATATAGCGCCACGCATCTTGATTGATAAGATTTGAAGATATGTGTAGTCCATCACTGTCATGTCTTCAAAACTCTCTGGAGTCTACACTAATTACAAAGAGAAGACTTTTATAAACAGCTTTTAAAATCAGTTGGTCTCACAATCGTAAGGATGCGAGTGGCGCGGTACATACAGTATATGGCACAAATATCGTTGTTATACATGTACATGTAAGTCCTATATATCTGAACTATGACATGGTTGTCAGTACTTGACACTGGGGAGTCAGTACTTTGGGGAGTCAGTACCTTGCTTCGGTCCAAATATGCAAGGCCCATCTTCCACCAGGAAGGACTTGGCTTCTTCAGTTTACATGTAGACATTTACATTGACTCATATCACACATAATACGCGTCTATGGGGATCCGGCTAAAACCGGTATACGCCGGCCAGTACAGGCCCGTACCCGTGTCATGGACCTAGGATCACCTAGAGGTGAACGAACTTTGTTAATCATTATACACCCATTTATCTCTTATATTGATCATATTGACGCCAGGTATTGACAGGGCACGTGGCAGACACGAACAGGTACATCCCAGGTGTGTTGTTAGGTCACGCACGTTTCACGTGATTTCGCAACCGTCTAGTTCCTGAGCGAATGTTTCCTATGAATAGTTAGGACTACGTCATAGGTTAATACCAAATAAGGAGTTGGGGTTTCCACTTTACCACAAACAGCGCCGGAAATCGAAAAGTCTGTGACGTAGCGTACAAGTCATTCCCGTCTCGGCAGTGGCCAAGGAGGTTTCGCAAGACAAGAAGTAGCCTCAGGACAGTCTACATGGTCTACAACTCTAGAGATATGAATGTGATGATTCCCCCGGACGCTACACGGCCTACAGGCGGCCGGTGTGTGAAAACTCTGCGGTGGATCGGCTGCCTGATCGCGCTGGTCGGAATCATGATATCGGTGGCTGTGGTGATCATGACGGGCATGCACAGCGATGAGGGCATACGGTTTCCGGGAGAGGGACTCCTTCTGTTGTTCGTTGGAGTGACGCTAGTTTTACTGAGTCTGTGTTACACGTCGTACTCTCACGGTACTACAAGACGACAGGGACTCAGTCGACAGAACTCGGTGTTAAGTACGAACATGGACCAACCACCATCGTACTGGGAAGTCTGCGACTTAAGGTGAGCACTAGTGACAGAGGATCTGGTGTATATCATTTGTCCTATCTGTTTGTGATGTTACTATATAAAGATAGAAGTTTGTGTGACCGGACCAGATGTAGACATTGAGTAGGGCTCAGTGGGGATCTTTAAAGGTCCTCCAGTAGTAACAGTCTCAAGTTAGTATTATGTGGCAAAGCTGTAGCAAGCCTATAGCGTTACTTAAACCAAGCTAAAAGTTAAACTGAGCTCTGAATATTTGCCCTCAGCATTTCGTAAGGTTGTTACCAGCATGACAAGGCATGTAAAATGTACCATAAACCCATAAACTCGGAAGTGTAAGCGGATCTTTTGGTTTCAACTGGCGTGTTAACGCGTTACGCTGTCGTGTTTTCCCACAAACTTTACTTCCGCCTTGCGAGCTTTGTGCATGTGTCACACTGGCGGGGTCTACCATGCATGACAAAAATAACGCCACTGCTTTGCAATTGGAACTTGTGCCAAATTGAATTGAACGTCTTTAAATGTAACCGTTACAAGGCAGGAATCGGTGCTTTTTTACCCCATGTGCAGCGACTGTGTGTTTGACAACCAACAGGACGTGTATTCACGTGTTCCTACACACCTGTCGGGACATGCACTATTTGCTGAGAGATAGACAGTGTTGTTTTTACCTTTAGCCAGCGTACGGTAATTGACAGATGAATAAACATTTCACAGGTGTTTTTTTTACCTGCACACCTTCTTACAAAGGACGATAACCTACTTTTAAAAATTGCACTAAACTCTTCCATTTCCTTTCGTCAAAAATTATACTATCACCGTACAACAGAGATTGAATGATTAATAATTAGATAAGGTAGGTTATCCAATGCATAAACTTTTTTTCTCAGTCGTGTCTACGTATGTACCAGTTCGCGATGTCTCGATTTGAATTCGGCCCAGTGAATAGGCTGTATGTGACGTAAATGCTTTGTAAGAAAAAAAAGTGCCTGAAGCTATCAAAACACCTACAGACCCATGCCTGCGTGATATGTCAGGGTCCCTAACTTCTGGGTTGTTTGTTTGTTTGTTTGGACACAACAGTCGACAGTTGTTATTGGATTTCTTCGCCTCACCGCAAGGTTTTAAAAAAGACCTGAGCCCTAAAGTCAGACCCTTCGCTCCCAAGTCCCATTCACGTCCGTCCAAGCGTTAACTCCAGCTAGTGGTGCAGTCAGCGCAGCACTTAGTATGTATATTTTAACACCCATTTAGCTGTTCTATTGTAGAAAAGAATGCCACTTGAGACACACTTCCTTCACTTACGCCACCCTGCTCTTTTGCTGACAGATGGTTGCATTTGGTGCTATTCGCAAGTAGACGTCAGATCGTCTACTTAATGATAGCAGAAGGGCGAAACTATACCATGTAGAAGTTCTTAGAATTTTTGCATTGTCATGAAAATCGTCCGCCGTGTTCACCCTTGTTATGGTTTAGGCAGTGTTTACGGTGAGATAGCTATGTGAGACGGACAGGTGAACAAACTGAGAGAGAGCCCGAGGCCACATGTTGTTTTTTGACGGTGTCCACAAGACCTTGGATCCATCTGATGTTTGTTTGTTTGTCAAGTCGAACAAGTGTCTTTTTTTAGACCCTGTTTTGCTGTCGTCAACGCTCCAATTTTATTTCCAAGGCCAGTTTCTATTGTCTGTCTTATACGCACGCTTTCTATGCAGTAATATAAACAAAACTAAACGTGGAATAGATTCTATCACAACAGGGAAGTTAAACTGGGAATAATACATTTAAAGTTATGCTACAATCCGCTTCCTCCTGGTCGTAACAAATGATATCAAATGAGGTGACTGTTTCAAAAGTAGGGTGTATGGAGGATAGTTATTATCGAAAGAACGTATTAAACGTATCTAGACGAGCTGTGGTACAGTGGAACCATGGATTGCCAATAGGTAATGACAAATACACTGAGAAAACCGTTACGTGAACTGACTGCAGCGACTGTCAGCTTGAGTTATCGGACAGGGATCGAGTTCACCTGGACCAGAGGTGACTGTGGGGTGGTGTTACGGCAAACACTGCACGTCCGCACACTCACTGAGACTCTCACCTGACATTTTGTTAACTCTGTGGTGACGTCATAGCACGTCTTAGAGCAAAAATACGAACATTAATACAGGAGCCAATATCTAAAAGAGGCCTAGGTACACCTTTACGGGCCTGTAGAAAAAAAGTGATACCACAATTTGAGCATACTCGGTGATGTGGCAGAGGCCCCTCCAGCACAAAATAAGATCAAACCTGTATTATTTTGTGGTGAAGTGGGTGCCACGAAATAACATTTATTCAGGCCTTAGCTGCTGTACTACATTCCACTGTGCAGCGCGATACAACGGTTATAATCCACCACTCAGCTCCGTGCTAAATGCGGCAAACATAAGGGCCCTCCAGGCTAATTTAATGATTTAGTCTTGGCAGTCCTTCGAAAGGGTTTATTAATAACATCAAAATCCGCGATGCCGGTTTGATCCCCATGACGACCGGCTCTCTCGCGCACGTACGTGGCGCACCTAACGTAACGTTAAACTGACGGTTTAACTACTCAAGGACATGAAGTTGTTGAGTGGCATGTTTTCATCATGCAACATTCTACCGTTGTATTTAAAAATCTAATGTAGATAAAGAGCATGCATGCCCATTTGCTGATGCCGTCTGTGGGGGTAGTTATTAGATCTAGAAACATGCAACCAACTATGTGTTGAGAGAATGCAACTTCAGAGCAGCATAACAAAAATGTTCTGGGTGACGAAATCTGTCTGATATTGGCATTAAATGCCATTTCTTAGCACATTTTTGTCATGATTTCATACTTGATGCGCCTGAAAATGACCCATACAAGCTACGTGAGGAGTCCCTTTAGTGCCACGAAACAAGCAACTGTTTTTCGACACGGCCTAAAACGCATCAGTAGGAGTATGGAGTAGGGTTGATTCAATTTATTACATTAAGAATGTAGACCAGAATGACCATTAGAATGACCAGAAAATTGACTTTGAAAGTCCAGTTTTATTTACCACTCTGAAATTGGATGCCTGTAATGTTAGTCTCTACCAGACTAATTAACTACGCTCGCTATATATAGGAGAATATTTGCCAGGGGAGTTTGGCTGCCTTGGGGTTCGACAACCTTCCCACGGCCGGACTCGGGCCCTTGGCCAATTTTTCTCCTTTTTTTTGGCCGAATTGTACGATCCGTATTCCCGTAGAAAGGCCTGGTGGAGGCTACTACTGTAATTCACTTTATGTTCACTGTAGCAAAATTTCACGGTCTGAGAAAAGTGAACATGTTCATGGAACTATATATTCACGGTGGCGACAGGTACAGGAAAAAGAAAGTCCAGGAATTATTTGTTAACTGTAATGATAAGTTCACTGTACAATGGTGACAGTGAAAACAGTGAAGATAAAAGTACCGTGAAAAGATCAGTAATTAGTATAAGGTGGGGAGGGGCGTCGTGTGTTTGCCCCGCGTGGGACCGTTGCCATGTCAGCTTGCCCTGACCTAGCGTCCATGTTCACATTCCCCACACGTACACGTGTTAGATCAATCCGCATGTTCTGGCGCGGCTTTCCCCGCGGTTTGATAAACGAGCGGCCATGACAGACTGACAGCCGAGCTCAACTGCTCGCTCTGCCAGCCCCCGCTAACGTGTGGAAGCGCACGTCAGCACCTAGCAAGGCGGCAAGTTCACGTGTAGTATGCCGAGGAAACTGTGAAAAACACGACTCCCTCAGAAATTAATGACATTGACATTGTCGCTCCTACATGTGTATTTGATACGTTAACCTTACACACTTGGTTTGCGATGGCCAAAATCCGTGAGAGAATTCGAACGTTTTGTGTAAAGTGTTTGTATATGCAGTGTTAGAAATACCCATCTGCAGTCTGCATTTTGCAGAGAAGTTTTCAGTACAGTTGCAGACGAACTTAAGCAACCTGCAGACTGAAAAAATCAGGCTAGGGGTTCAATGAGTGTCGGCTTCGCAGTGTATTTTGCAAAAAGTATTTCCGAATTGCAGAGCAAAATTTTGACATTCTGCAATATTGCAGAGCTAGTACTGAAAAACGTATTTCTACCACTGATATGCAATGGATCTGTTCCGTAGTGAAAACTGTTTCATACCCTTTTCTTACTTTCATCAACGTTTAGGTCCACTCATATAAAGAATGAAAACAAAATCTTAGCTTATACTGAAAACAACACAAGACATAAGACAATCATCGTTGCTCAGACTTAATTCTTCGTTGTTTTTCTTCCATGTGCAGTTACGACAACCCCGTCATGGCGCCAACCGTGATCACAGAAGACGGCGTCATCATCGTCCCCACCAGCAGACTCAGGAGCATTTCTGAAGGTGTCGTCATCGACGTGGACAGCTTACTGGAAGAACCTGACGAACCCTTACCGAAGTACGAAGACGTCGTGGGCAGGTGACAGGATTCAAGACAGACAATTATAACGTCTTCAAATACGTCTAAAAGAGCTGTCACTGGTTAAAACTGCTCCAATCTGGTGTACATTTGAGCATGGTGCACGGACTAGAACCAGCATCGACTCGAACTGCACTTCAAGACCAGGCCGCAGTGTGTCGCTATTGAGCAGTACTGGACACGAACCAAATTAACCTGCGACCATGTACATGTATATGGACTGACAAGTTGAACTCTACAGCAACATAGTCTTACTTTATACCTCCTCAGCCTTGAGGTTGGATAAGTGACGACATGCTAAAGGAATCTAACACTAGTACATTCCGCTTAAAACGCAGGTGTTACACATATTTAAATCTGTTTTTACTTTAGCAAAGGAAATGTTATTTATATGTTTTATTTATTTGGTTTTCGCTTCAAGCGTATGTACGTAATATTAGTAAGAAAAGGACAAGGAATCTGTCTATGCAATTATTTTGTTTAATCATACTTTTACACCAAGACGTGCCAATCGGAAGTCAGTACTGAGCCAACAGGGTGTATTTGTCAAACCCCAGCTATATGAAACTTTATACTATGCTGCAAACACGTTGTAATCATAAATTTCAAAATCTTGTGACCAAATGGCATTTGGAGGTTTTATATCTATTATTTTTGTAAGAATATTTATCATACTCAAGGCTGCATTATATCACATCAATTTCTTGGTTTCTTGGATGAAGTACTCACAATATGTGTGCGGAAATAGGCACATTTGTTGACAAGGAATAAGTCATGAGAATTAATGAGTAATTGGCATGATGTGGTCATATTTATTTACATGCGAAATACAAATATCATTGTACATAATTGAAGTGTTGACCAGCTTCGGAATAAAGCATCATATACGTTCAGGGATGCTCCTATGTGTTCCATTGATGTTGTGGGCTAAGGCTATTCGAATCTATCATACTGTTGAACAGTAGTGCTTCTCATAATGTACTTAAATTCAGCTGCCAGAGGTAGCTAGACAACCACAAGCAACATAGAATACTACTGCATTCCATTCTTTATAGTTTTACGAGATGTTTACACTCAGGTCAAAACGACCCATAAAAAGACCCGTGGAATTTTTGTCCTCAATAAATGTTCTTGAGGGCGTTGAACTCAGTGGTGGCTCGTTGCCAGTCATCACAATGTATCGATACAGGACCCCTGATCCCTCTTGGCTCACAAATACGTGTACGAGATTAGGCTATTAGATGCTTGAGATACCGCGAAGGACTAGCTATAGGGACGATGTATCTCACTCTTGTATAGCTAATTTATTCCAAAGTGATTTTATATCAAATTTCTTACTTCTGGACCCTCATATACATACAATAGCACACAGCACGCACATACATACAGGAAGTCAGAAATATCTACATGAACTTAAGTTAAACCAACTCAGGTCTGATACGGCGAGCAACATTACTAGTGGACTTCTTTTCTGACATTTTGATGGTCCGATGATGACTAGCCGTATTGGTTGTGTACATGAATGTCTGCCGCATGCTGTTACCAGCATTGCATATTTTGGGCCCGAAAAAATCAATGTCCTACGTGCCGTACGCAATAAGAACCACCATACCCAGCCACCCCCACTGCCCGTATTGAGAACAACCAGACGTCCCCACTGTCTTATTCATCATGTCTATTTCATTCGATCGCCAGCACAGCTTTGGGCACTGATTCAAGGTGTGTTGTGTTTGCCAACTTCTATCCGATGGCACAATTCGCGATTGCTGTTCAGATCACGTACATAGCACACTCTTCAAATCACTGCGACTAGATTAAATCACACATATGCAGCAGAGCGTATGCCACGCTGGTCAAACGAGCGGTAGTTGACCTTGCGGCCTAATCTGTGACCTTGTGGTTAGACTGTTTCATGAATTATTTACGTTTTTCGGTCAGTAACCTTGTTTATGGCCGAACGGTGTTTTTTTTTCAGTTTTGTCAAAGCGTATAAACTATGGGTTAAAATACTCCACACGGAATAAAATAAAACAAGAAAGGTAACATTTGCAAAGTAAATTCTTCATGTTTACCTTCACATGGCCCAGCTTGTCAAACACATTCATATGAAACTCAGTTCTGCATGGCACTTGCAACATTATGAACACCAGTAACCATGGTGACAGACGTCTGGTTCAGGTCATTTACCTTGCTTTTTTTGGAGAAGAAGAGGAAACAGGGCAAAAACAATATGTTTTCCTTCGGTAAACATGATCACGTTCATTGTGTTGAAGTGTGCTTACAGGTCAGCCAGGAATCCAGCACACGTGCGGTACCGCACGTTCATTTATCGGCAACAGGTGACGTCATTTGCACATATAAGGAAGTCCCCACTCGATACTTGTCCCAAAGGCAGGCGGAAACAAGAGTAGACTAGACTCGGGCGCCTTGTCTGTACTCATTAGCCCTGAACTTGGCTCTGTTTTTGATGTCGCGTGAAAGGTGATATAGATTGACAAGTGTTGGGTTGTTTGGAAGATACAAGGACGGAGGAACCAGCGGTTTGGGCCATGTTCGCAGCACCTCTAACCGGCGGGGAGGGCGGCCAGGCCATGCCGACCCAGCGGCAGTGGAACGCCGTGCTCCGACTCTTCGGCGCGATGATTGCCATGACCGGGGTAGCCGTGGCCATAGCAGTCATGGTCATGGCCAACAAGGACGAGGAAGCCAACCGTTTTCCGTGGGAAGGGGTGCTGTTGTTTTCGGTGGGACTCATCATGGTGTTGTTCAGCCTATACTACACGGATCCGGAAGGGGGAGGGCGCAGGGCGTCACAGTGTGTTGTCAGGAGAGAGTCCGACTTGGTGATAGACCAGCCTCCAGCGTACTGGGAAGTCTGTGATCTCAGGTGAGTCTTCTTAGGGATATCTTGTCGCCGAGGAGGCTTCTTAAGGCGCCTTTGAGTTTAATTAAGACGTCACGAAGTCAGGACAGGTATTCAATCAGTGCAACGAGGTCTCCACTATGATCAGTGGATATTTATTCTTCCAACGACGTCCAATATCTGGGTTTCACATTCTTAATTGTTGTTGTTGGATTGCTACGGAAATGTGTTATGTTTTTGACACGTTTACGTTGCTATCAATATAGTGCAATCAGTGCAAAGGGTAGATGCATATATGTAGGGCGTGTTGTTTCTGCTTCCTTGCTTCTAGTATGTTCTCCGACCTTGACCCAGCAACGCTAAGAGATAAACTGCTTTTTACAATGTTTTCAAACAAAAGCTCTGCCGAGATTTCCCCCATAGAATATAAAAACCACCTGTTATGCGCATATTTCAATTTAGAAGTCACGCTGCATGGCCACAGGTTGGCAAAACATGTTTTCTGTCCGTGTTTACAAAACCCACAGTTGCACGCTGTGGACGATTCCATGTCAGATATATGTGTGGGGGCGGTGACGGTCACATAAATAAAACGGTGCTGGGGCGTGCATAGCTTTCGAGTGACTAGGGCGTGGGTCGACGTCTAGACCGTTTATTGGACCTCTGAGCCCCGCCATAAATAAACAAATTGACTGTCATCGCCAAAAGCACCGACTCTGAGAATAGATGGTATGATACAGCAAGGACGTGGGTAGAGTTTCAGTCTAAAGGTTCTCGGTCGCTCCTAATCTGACAGTGGAACGTCCCGACATATATATGGTCACGTACCCGCCATACAGTCACGTAGTACCTGTTCAACCACGTTCACTTGAAATATATATGGTGCTGGCAAATCTCCAAGCAGATGTAGATGATTGTTATGGCTTCCACCTGTTTTGCATGTCGCAGAAGGATAGATTGAAAAGCACGATACGACTTTTACATCAGAAAGGTGACATTTGCAATGCAAATGCATAATAATGTTTACCTTCACATGGTCTAGCCTAACAAAGAACTACTCTGTTTATTCTTACTCTATGTTTATTTCAAACACCATACATCCAGTATATGGTGATCGCCCCCCCCCCCCGCTCTGCCTTGCTACATAACCCAACACCACAGGGTGTCTGCTGCAGCACCAGTTACCATGGTGACAGACGTCTGGTCACTGGCCTTATTTGTTTGGAACGGAAGCAGAGGAAGAAGAAGAAACAGGGCTAAAACAATGTGTTTTCCTTCTGCGAAGGTACATGTAGACATGAATATTGAAAAGAAAGTAAGTATCCAAAATCTTGTTCGTTACGCATCCAGTGTGTTCCTTTATCTCAAGGTTTACATGACAGAGTACTTCAAGTCATTCCGATTTTTTACACACAGTGCGCCCCCACCGGACTATATAGAACCGACGTCGGTGACGTCAGGTAACGGCGAGATCGTGGTCACCATCACAAGAGTCAAGTCCACTCCGTCATCAAGAGCGGCCGCACTCAACTTAGACGCCGCCGCAGTTAACATAGAAGAGCCGTACCGACGACAAAGCGACGAGGAACCAGACGAACCGCTACCTTCGTATGAAGAGGTCGTAACGTTAGAAGAGAACGAAAGAAGAGAAAGAACTTCCTCTGCATGAGGGTCAAAATAAGAATGTTTTCATACACACAGTAGCGCTGACCCAACATAGCTGCCACTGTGTCGGCACTTCAGTCATATTCCGCCAGGAGGTGCTCTTGAGCTTGACAATCAGGAAATCGAAAGAAGTAGTTTTTTTTACACGGGGCCACATCGAAGTTTTCTGAAGCAAGTGAATCGAGCTAGGTATTACAAGATGACATATAGAATTACTGTATAATATGTAAACGATAGCTCCAAGAATGTGCCATGTAGTTTGTATGTACAATATGCACCTAGTGACATACCATATCATATACTGGTCATAGGGGCATACTGTGATCATGGATGAAAAATTGAAAAAAAAACAACTTTGAATTCCAATGTCTGTGCGTGCAATGGGTGTGCGTGCAAGCGATGATAGTTTTACAATGATTTATTGTGATTTCAATTATTTTTATGGTTTTGCTTCAGCGCATTCGAGTAAAAGGGGTGCCTTTCCAACAAATTTGTAAAACAAAATATCAGAGCATATCATGCCATGCCATGTCATGCCATGCCATGCCATACTCAAATATATCAAAGCCGTGGCTAGTAAGATGGCAAACACCATTTATTCTATTATATAATTAGGAATGTTAGGGATGTTCTGAATAACTTTGTACCACCTCATTTAAATTATCAAATCTCCTTGTCACAAAAAGTTAGGAAATATGTGGTAAATATGTGGAATCAATCTATTTATGTACTTTGAGCGTATGCGGTATGGCGGGGAGCTTACTAAAATTATTTCTTGTTTTGTATCATGTTATGTACTGTGTAAATATTAAGTAGTCGTAGTGTACAAGTAGGGGTATTTTGGAAGATGGTAATTTATAGCCTGGGTGCCATCCGAATTTGTAACGGCTCCCCCGAAACATTTTTCGGGGGAGCCGTTACAAATTCGGATGGCACCCAGGCTAGGTAATTTACGGTATAGTTGAACAGGCGTTTTAGCCTGACGGGCATATTTGAGATATTTATTGTAAAGCAAGTATCGATATTTTTTTTTACCTAGTTGTTCTTCACTGTGCTTATTTTCATTGAGCAAAATGAGTTGTTGTTGTTGTAAATATTGCTTACTTTATGTACCAAAAGTCAAATAAACGAAAAATGTTTTATATTGCTTCTTATTTCTAGAATTCTTTGATCAGGTTTCCTCGAGTTTGAGTTTAAAAAAAATACATCAAAGAATTTAAAAGACAACAACATACGATAATACATTGTCAATCTAACGAACTATATTGTCACACATTTTCGTCGATATTTCACACGTTTACAATGAAATCGTGCCTGTTCCGCTAGATTTTCTACAATATCTCAAGTTTAATGTCTCAAGTTTAGCCATCAGTGCTGAACATACGAATCGACACAGGACGACACAACATTGAGAAACGGTGTTTCAATAGAAGAAATCTGTTATGCATGTTCTAAATACTGGGACACTAGTATGAATGTGCTTCATTAGTGAACACTTGCTATTTACTATCTCCGTATATACGAATTTGAGTGACGCGGTTTCAAACAATCGCCATCTCATTATGGATGTGCTAAAACGGGGCACACTTGTATGAATGTGCTTCATTTGTGAACACGTGCCCATTTATAATTGTCATCTCTTGTCTCCAACCTTCGTCACAAGAAGGATTACGCTTCGAGTTCAATAGAAGTTGATACTCGTTTGTTCCAGTAATGAGCACCATATCATGTTATAACAAAAGTGTTAACGATAGTAAAAGTCAGGAATTACTCTCAGACGCACGTAGGTGTGCATTAAAAATATCAACCTTCGTCATGAGCACCGTTTTGACAATTTTCAATTAAGGTCACATATCCTGAGCTTGGGCGTAGGATGCTCCAATACGTACATACTACTGCGTAGGTTGAAACATGACATTGTTTTCAAAAGCCATGACGCGGCTTCTGCCCCATTTTCACGGGACGGAGATCGCTACGTGCACCGTTCGCTAGCCTCTACCAGGTTTTGGGAAGCGGCTGGAAAGAGTAGAGTTTAGCCAAATAGACAGATAACATGCTACGGGAGTACAGTTTGCCGCTCACGAACTGTACTCCCGAGCAGGCCAACTCCCCAGGCATGTCTATTTGGTCGATCTCTAAACTTTCCCAGCCGCTTCCCGAAGCCTGGTAGAGGCGAACTTTGGGAAACCGATGAGCAGCAAAAAGCATTGGTTATTGAGAGCTCATCGGAAGGTCAAGAGTATGTAGGTCGTAGAAGTGTTGAAAGACCTGTCAAATGACGCTCAACGTTATGAAAAACTTAAACTGTTCTCCAACTCAAAATTTGACTCACCAGAAATTTTCGACTGAATCACTCAGTCTTCCTCAGCTATCTGACCCAAATGCTGTGGACACGTGATCTTTCCCACATGTGACGTCAGCAAAGGGTCAAAGGTTGTCTGAAGTCGATATCGCCCCCCGTCCCGGTTTCATGCTGACGCTCAACGTTCTTTGTGGAATCTCCACTTAAAGTAGCAACAGTGGAGCAGACACCTGTTATAGGCATAACATTCTTGAATTTGAAAACAACTTGTTTGCAGAAGCAATGTTTTAACACAGCAATCCACAACCCTGTGTACACATACAGAGACATCACAGAAACATGGCGGCGGTTGCTAGAAAGGCTAAATCAGAACAAGCGACACAAAAGGAGCAGATGTTTCTCCTAACCAGACGTTACAATAGTACCTTTGTCTGCTGCATTGTTTACGCCAACCTTAGCTGCCTATCTTGTATACCTAATTGGGCATCAGGGGTTTAATACTAATGAGCCGTTGGGGTTTCAAATTTTCCGCTGGGGTTTCTTGTTCACCATTAGCCAAGGTTGTCCTTTTGCGTTGGAGGAAGGCTGCAGACCCCTTGAGGCCGATGGCGCTCACGCTAATATTACCTGCACAATCAGGGCATGTGGATGTTCTATTAAATATTGATTCTTCATAGGACAGTCTAACAGGATAGTCTCCTTCGCAGACTTCTGATGCGGCGGCGTTAACTTTTTTAAGGGAAGCCACGCGAGTTATGCCGCGGATGGAAGGTTTTGTGATGCGTGGAAACCGTCTCTCCCCGGCAAAGTCCCTCGTCGGCGGAACCTTTCCTCCGCGGCATAACTCGCGTCGCTCCCCGAAAAAAATTAACGCCACCGCCGCATCAGAAGTCTGCGAAGGAGGCTTCTAACAGCACGGGTTTATAATTAGTAGTAGAGCTTGGCGCATCTACAACCACTGAGTGATTGGTCGTTTGTAAGGCAGAATGGAGGCTCAGCTAAGACTTATCCTGTCGTCCGATTTGAACGTCCATGTTGGTTACCATAGCGACCCCTCAGACGATAGGACGAGGTTAGTTAAAACTCACATGCATTGGCTTTGCATGGACAGATTGCTATTTGTTGTGAATTTTATGTAGGTCATTTGCACCTGTTATTCCTACAATCGCGTACATTGTAGACCACCGGATCCGGATGAAAGAAATTTATGCCGGATTTCCGGACATTTCCTTAACCTAGGCTATCCTATGAAGATAAACAGCATTACATTAATTAATATTGGTAATGGGAGCCAAAGGATAACCACGTCATGCCAGAGCCCACTCACTACAAAAACAAGTAACTTGAATAACGATATAACCTGACTACCTGTAGATTTGTAGCTTTAATTCAGGTCCTATTTCGATTCCTCGAATAATGACATTACATTTGGGTCACTCATTTTATAGTATTTTGTGGTTGTTAGAAAAACGGGCGACAGTAGAAAGGAGGGGAAGTCATTTAAAAAACTTGCCATATCTTTGCTTCTTTTAGTCTTGATTGTTCTATATCTATCATTTTCAGAATATTTCCATGGAGTTGATCACCACACGCGACTAGAAATCTTTATATATTATAATGTCTCTGGACACAACCAAATGGACGCACCAACGCCCACTATGATGGAAGAGCTAGTAAAGCTTTCCACGCCAAATGTCAAATGTCGTGCAAGACTTTTCCTAAGTACGGTTCTGACGCTATATGTTGACGTCACCTACCCACGTCTGAGATCACCCGAGAGAAAATAATTCGACGTCACTGCAGTGATGTGAAACTGTACACGACATTTATGAAGCCCATGGGATTTTAATTATATAAAACGCATTATTCTCTTCTCCTCTCAAATAACCACTGCAGCTGCGCGACGTACGTAGTAGTGACTTGAGCCTAGCTGCAAGACGCAAGGCGAGCGCAGGCTATCGGGTATCACACGCACCTGTGCATGTGAGTCTTACTTTACCGCACCGCCACTGCTACTCTGTCGCCTTCTCTTCGAGCACGATGAACGGCAGCGATGTCCCGGTCTCACCGCCGAACGGCACGGTTGACCAGAACCTCTACACCACCTGGTACTCTCTCCTCTTCTCTCCGAGCACGATGAACGGCAGTGGTGTCCCGGTCTCACCGCCAAACGGGACGGCTGACGGGAACCCCTACACCATCTCCACCGCAGAGAAAGCCGTGGAGATCTCCCTCCTGGTGATAGTCCTGTTCTTCGCGTTCTGTGGGAACTTGCTGGTGTGGGTGAGCGTCCTCTGGAAGCGCAACCTGCGCAGGGAGACGGCCAACTACCTGATCCTGAGCCTCAGCGCGGCGGACATGACGGTAGCCGCCTTCAACCTGCCGTTCACGGTGTCTGCCGTGGCGTTGGGCGGCTGGGTGCTCGGGGACGGGGCCTGCGCCTTCCTCGGCTTCTCCAACATGATCACGTTCGTCGCCTCCGTCATGAACCTCGCCGCCATCGGCGTCAACCGGTTCTGCATCATCGTCCACTACACCAAGTACCCCGACTACTTCGACCAGAGAGGCACGGCCATGACAATCACCGGTAAGTGGTAGTTGAAGACAAATCTTCCAAATACCACCTTTTCTTAATCTCCAAGCAGATATTTTGGAGGCTGCAAAGACACTATCAAATTGGCCAGGTAGTATATTCATTTACCAGGCAGTTAAAATTTGCCAGGTAGTTACCATTTGCCAAATTTGCCACTGGCGTAAAAAAGATACCAGTACAAAAAGAGTAAACTTGAACATAATCCAAAGCCTAAACCTCCTGGTTGCAAAAGACAGTATCAAATTGGTCAGCTAGTATCCATTTGCCAGGCAGTTAAAATTTTCCAGGCAGTTACCATTTTCTACTGGCGTGAAACAAGATACCAGTACAAAAATCCCGACAAAAACGAGTAAACTTGAACGTAATCCGAAACCAAAAACTCTGGCTCTACTTGGAGGGTAACCTTTTTTTGCTGATCTTCGATGCCTTGTTACAATACGGGATTTGCCTTGTTTCCCCACTAGCTCCCATTCAAGTAATCGCCTGTCTTCCACAAGGTGATCATGATCACGCCATAAGGCATCTTAGAAACAAGGAGGCTTAAAATCTTGTATTCAACCTTCTTGGTAGAAGCAACACTTGAAATTTAAACTTAAACTCATGCCTGAAGGCTAAATGCAAGGGACTACACAGATACGATAACATATAAAAGGTAAAAACTGTGTAGCCTAGTATAAATCTATCCAATGATATTACGTACATTACTGGGGGCTGACTTCTACTAAAGCTTTAGGCAGCGGTTCACCGGCATCCAATGCAACTTCAAGGCGGCAAAACCGGATTTTTAGCCGATTTTCTGGTCATCTTTTAAACGTAGTAAGTGATGCAAGCAGGCAGTTGAATCAATCCTATCCCTTAGTACACTGATATCTGTGACTGAAGCAGTAATGTGATGTCGCTGACGGAATACGGTTGCTTGTTTTTGTATCGTAGGCTGGTTCTAGCTATTTATGAGTGGTACCCATAAAACAAAGGGACTCCTCACGTAGCTTGAAGTATGAAATAATAACGAAAATGTTCTCAGAAATTGTAATCAATATCAGACAGATTTCCTCAACGATCAAGAATATTTTTTTTTTAATTTTGCCTCTCTGAAATTGCATTAATGCTGAATGGGTTTTGTGTTCTTAGTAAAAATGTAGTTTTTGGAGATCTTGTGAAGAGTAAAATCCTAGGGAAATTGTGGTTACTGTTTGAAATATCCTGTTTCTTTCAGCCTCATAATTAGAGTATTTATAAAAGAAATGCACTTCATTTTCCACTGCTTGACAAATATAAAGGCAGGAAGGCAGTCTGATACCCGTCTTTGTTCAGCTAACGGACGATCTCCCATTTTTAGAGTGTCCCTGAGTAAAGGTGAACAGGGCCTAGGAAAAAATGTTGTGTTTCCTGTTTCCCAACCGACCCTAGAAAAAACTGCCGATGTGCCTTTTTGTGTGGACCCCTGCAAGGGACATACTTTTTTTGAGCTGATAGACCCTTGCTAGTTCCATGATCTAACACCTGGGTGATAAAACAATGTACAATCGGTTTTCCAACATTGACATTGAAAATAGAAGTTGGATCACTAGAGATTGCCAAAGTCTAATAAAAAAAGAAGAAAGAAAAGAAGATAATCACTATCTACCGACCCTAATTTTTTTCAAGACAAGAAACAGTAAACACAACATCTTTTTCCTAGGCCCAGTGGCTGAACACGTTATGCTTAAGATATTTTGCATGGTTTAGACGGCCGGCGGCCCGGCCTAACTTCTAAAGGCCAGCAGATCTATTCATCCAGGAGCGTAACTTATAAGCGCAAACACTATATCCATGACATTTTGTCTAACATTTCTCCCCCCTCCCCTCCATCGGACAGTAATCCTGAATGCATGTAACGTGAAACGTGGTCAAGAAGTTAGGTATACAATATCTACCAGGATGAATTTTGTGAACGTAAGCTGAACGATGCTGTCGAAGGTCGGACAGACTTGTAGCTAGTCAAGCGGGTGTCTGAAACACTGAGTTCCACCTAGCAATAACAAAGACCGTTGGGCAATCTACTGTATATGAGTGACCGTTCGGATCATATATTTAAAAATCATAGAGAGATCACTGACACTGGAAAACAGTTGAGAGATCTGTAATTTTTTTTAACGCTCAGTGGTCTCTCAGTCAATGGTCTCACTTCTGTGGAATCCCTACTCAGCCAGAATCAGTAGATACCCATGACGCATGCCGTAGGTGGGGTGGGTGGTAGATGTAAGACGTTGTTCGTGGTTACCAGTGACGTAAACTAACTTTATACCGCTAGGGGGAGCCCGTGGGTGGCACAGACACGAAACAGTCGTGACGTAGAATCACTAATTGCCATTCTCTCATTGGTTGAACTTCTGATTGTGATGGACATTCAGGATCGGTCTATTGTGCGGCACTTGGGAGAGGGTAAAACTGTTTTGAACCAAAGCAGATGATTGTTTGGGGAACGTATATATTCCTGAAAACATTTCATTCATTTTTTGCTTACGTCAACTTAGAAGTTGTAATTCTTCCTCCCATCCTCCAGGCGTGTGGCTGTTGTCGATCCTGCTGGCTGTACCTCCCCTGCTAGGCTGGGCGGAGTACGCCTACCTGCCCGGGCAGTCCATCTGCTTCTGTAACTGGCCGTCCAGCGTGTCCTACACCTTCTTCATGGTGGCGGTGTGCTTCGGCGGCCCGAGCTCCGTCATGGCCTTCTGCTACACCCGGATCATCACGGCCGTCCGCGAGAGCCGGAGGAGAGTCCGGCAGGTAGACGAGGCGGCATCCAGTCGAGCTCCGCCCATTCGGTCAGCCTTCGTGCGACCCCAGGTCGAAAACTCAGAAAGCACAGAGGACAGATTCAGATCTATATCATCAATCAAGTCTCAGTCAGAAGATGAGGTAATTCCTTTGTCAGAAAAGCCTCGACCGAGCTCGAATCTTCTGACAGTTCCTAGAGTGACTAGACCTGTTTCCAGACACCACGTCAGACTCAGTTCACAAACGTCCGATGAAGGCATCGCAACTATCAGTAATCCCGGTAGTTCGTTAGCTTCCTCGACCTCCTTGCCTAATTTGCCCAAAGCATCAGGGTCACGGGTCAGTATCGTGAGAAAACACGAAGAGGCTAAGAAGAGAAAGGCTCGCGAAGACGACATCAAACTGACCAAATCGTTCGTGGTGGTGATTTTGGTCTTCACGATCTGTTGGTTGCCGTTCTGTGTGACGATGTTCTGGTCGGTGTTCTCCCCCACCCCCGTCCCGCGGCTAGTGGACATGGCGGCGCTGATGCTAGGCTATTCCAACAGCTGCTGGAACCCCATCATCTACGGGGTCATGAACAGCAAGTTCCGGGCCGCGTTCAAGGAACTTTTGAGAAAACTCTTTCAATGCAATTGGAAGCGATAGTACCTTAATTGATGTATATTTGTTCAAACCTTGTGTGCAATATGTATCAGTTTCTTGGGGAAATGTATGAACAGAGAATATGAATATCTTGTGTACGTCATGATGTTTACAGAATGTCTCATTTGTTTTCCATATTTTCTTGAATTATGTATGTTTCATATATAAAGTGTACGATTTGAATGTTGACCATTTGACCAGTGTATTGTTTGATTGATCTTATGGTCTAGAAATTGTGCACTGAATGCCAGAGAGAAATCATAGTTTTAGACATCAAAAATGTATTTGACATTTTATTCTGCATAAATATCAACTCTCTAAGACCACGCTGGGCTATTCATGCATACATCTCTCACAGGACTTTTTCAAAACGTCATATTTGCAACAACATGTCACGAATACTTTATTTAGACATCACAGAACGTCTGAGTTTTCAAGCTAGCTTCAGACACCAATGCGCACAGAAATTCTCAGTAGGAATATAGATGTAGATAGTCGACGTTGCTCACGCGCCAGCACGTGGCCCATACAATAGAACTTTAAACATTTCTGCATTGTCAATTTTTCAGGACTTGAATAACATAGCCTTTTGTTCGAAAACAGTGGATACTTATGTATTTTCTAACAGGTTTCTTTCACGCGTTAATACATTTAAAGTTTTGAGCTATATACATTACATATTTCCTGAACATAAGTTTGTAGTGTTCAATCGTCTGAGCATTTTGTCTGGTTAGATAAAGGAGTGCTGCCTTAGATAGAATGGTAGAATATTCGATTACTTGAAGAATAATACATGTACAAAGATAGGTTATAAACATATAGAACTCTACAACCCTTGTTACTACACAGTATTATACTCTTGTCAAACGAGGAACATTTAAACGCCAAAACTTACAACAAGACATTAATTTTAACCAAACAAACAAACAACTAGATATCCACGACCCCATAAGGTCTCCATTTACAGGCTAATTAAGTCTAATTATAGTCTAAGTATTCCCTAATTTCATACTTATATGATGTTAACCTCAACCTAATTGCAATATGTCACAATATAAAATTCCCTATCAGTTAACACTAATTTGTATTTCTAATTGAATACTCGAATAATGTATCATTATCTGTATATATAACCAAATTACATATTACCAATTCCCAAGTATGAAAGTCATATCCTAGCACAGAAGGCTAACGTAGCATTTTCTTACTGATTTGCAGAATCTACTTTTTTTAATGTTCATCTCACCTTTCCCTAACACAGCAATGTTTTCAATCAGACATTAAAATCAATCAACTTATTGATGATTCTGTCAATAACTATGCACGTGTAGGAAGTCATATAAACACGAATCCATTGATCAGCTAAACATACTACAATGTAGTACATGTAGTTACAACCATTGTTTATAACCACCAGCCATATTAAACTTAAGGTATATCATTTGTCCAATGAACTATCACTTCCATGGGCCGGTAAACAAACACACAACGTTTGATTATCGATCCACAACTCAAATTCCATTCTAATCAATCAATCAATTAACAAATCGATTACTCAGTAGATCAATCTCCATATCAATAACTATACATGTAGATCATGAGCTGCAATTGTATTGCTAGGATCATTGCTAAACTTTAGCAATTTACAGCAAGACATGAAATCTTGATCAAAATATATCACCTTGTTAATCAATCAATCAATCAATACAATTTTGTTGAATGAATGAATGCATCAATTAGTAAATACTTTATACTTTAAATCATACTTTATTGTTTCTCCGCTGCCGCTAGGCTTGCCAACACGGTTCTGTGTTGTTGTATATGCCGTTATCAAAAATAATTTAACAGTGTGTCCTTCTTTATTCTATACATCTGTACAGAAAGGTTTAAAGTGCAACCTCCAATCTTCTACTTGACCAGAAATGTCGGTTTGGCACTTCTAGTTCATTTCAATATACACGTGCCAGCTAAAAATCACTCTTTTAGATACAACCAAGGAGCTTTGAATTCAATTTTTGAGCTTAAAATTTGAGCTTTGATTTTTATTCTCCTTTATACAATCAACTCAGACCGTGGTGAGTTCGCTAGGGCTTGCCGGCCCGCGCTGGCGCAGCTGCCGCGACATTTGCCAGAGCCACAAGTTGAGCATGTTGTCCGGCAGGGTGCGGACCTGTTTGTAGTAGCCGTTAGAAGAAGGGGCGTTGTTGTTCCCGGACAGACTCCCACCGGAAGCGCTGTCCTCCATCTTGCCGCGGGGCATGACGGATCGGATCGCACGGCGCAGGCCCGAGCGGAAGTTGCGCGAGACGAAGGCGTAAGCGATGGGGTTGACGCAGCTGTGCAGCAGGGAGAGCAGGGTGAAGGCCAGCCGCATGGCGTACACGGCCTGGGTGTACCGGTCAACCAGCTCGAACTTCATGGCCAGGTTCAAGATCAACATCGGCCCCCAGAAGATGGCGTACAGGACCACCACTATCACCAGGATTCTGGTAACCTGTGAGGCAACATCTAGTCATTAATATTGTTGTTATATATGCAAGTTCAATGGTTAGTTGGTTGGTTAGTTGGTTGGTTTTTTATGTCCTGACAGTACTTAGCTATAGGGTACCTTTAAAGATCGAAAAAGCGACATTTTGGTGGTCTTGATATAATTAACGGTTGAGATATTGTTGAGAACGATTGTGCCAATGATAATGTATTTTCATTACAACTTCTTGCCGATGATGAGGTAAAAGATGCGGTAACGCTACAAACTGAAGAAAAGCTGCATTACGAATGCCTCCCGACAGGCGGCGTAATGGCTCCATATCGATTGATAGACCTTTTAAATCAAAGTAGCATACGGCATATTCTACCTGGGCCTTTGAAGCTCTTTTCCCGCCATTTCCTCCGGTCCCGTTCAGGAAGCCGCCATTTTCTTTGCTGTCGCCCCGGAGCTTGTAAATAGCCCGGATGTGAGAGACCAGCATGCCTAGCACCGGGATCACAAACAGCAGGACCATCAGGTACACGGCATAGATCTGGGGAGGGAAATAAAGATAATGGTATTGGACACAGTTACGATAATTCAAGGTACATGTAAGGATACGGTTGGCATGTATAAACAGTTGGTATATGCCCTAGCTTGTGTAGCCTATAGATTAGTACGGAATGGTGACTGAGGACTTTTAGAGGTGTTCGAGAAATACTAATCATAGCCAAGTATGGACCTTGTTTTTTCAGGGTAGTGCCATATTGAAAGACTATGATTTACGCAAATTTTCATCACGTTATAATGGCGTCAGCAACATTTATAGGACCACGCCCGTTTTCAGAAAAAATAGAGCTGCTTGGCTATTGCCTGGTTGATCAATTATTTCACAGAAATTTACAATAACTTACACATTATAATTGAGTGCTGGATCCATTAGATTTGAGTTAGGATCTTCTTTCATTTTCAAGGGCTGATTTTTTTTAGATTTTTTCACTCTAGCGCGGTGAACTGGGGTACATATAGCTGCAAATAAAACCAAACATGGCCGTACCTGTTGGAACGCTGTCGAGTCCCAGGCCAACTGGCAGTGGTACACCACTTCCACGTCAAATGGTACCTTCTGGGCGATCAGTCTCTGTGAATTGGAGGAAAAGACGACGGAATTTAGACACACATAGTCCCATGACACGGCGCTCACTGCAAAGTTCGATTTGAAGACAGAGTAAAATGCGCAGAGTAAAATGAGGATGTATGAAAACGATCTATATACTAAATATGAGTGAGGGTTAAACCAATGGTGATGGCTAGGAGGGGGCTTGCAAATTCTTTAAAATATTGAAGACTTTTCCTCGAAATTTCCACAGCCGTCAATAAGAAAGAGAGTTTCCAGTGTCCAACTGGTTGTAGCAGAACATAGCTGTAGCTGACTTTCAGCACCAAGGACAGGCCCAGCTCGAAATAACCTAATTCTCAACCGTCAAGAAGAAAGATTCCTGCGTCAAACTGGTTGTTACAGAACATCGCTGTAGCTAGCTTTTAGCACCAAGGACAAGCCCAGCGCGAACCAGACTTTTGTTGACAGAGGCCGTCTTACTCGGCAGAGACTCGAAAGATTCCTGCGTCAAACTTGTAGCAAAACATTACTGTAGCTGGCTTTCAGAATCCAAGGACAGGCCCAGCACAAAAGCTTATGTTGACAGGCCGTCTAGGTTGGCTAGCTTAAATGCGAAAATTACCTTTCTCAACCGCCAATAAAAATAGTTTCCTAGTTCCCTGCGTCAAACTGGTTGTTACAGAACATTGCTGCACCTGGCTTTCAGGACCAAGGACAGGCCCAGTGCGAACCAACCTTTTGTTGACAGAGGCCGTTTAGGTCGGCTGACTTAAAAGCGCGCGCCTTCGCTACATCTTTTAGTCGACTGGAAATCACGATTAAAAGGTTCAAAGGTGTTGCCAGCACTTAACAATTTCTCGCCATACCTACGGCATCTGTTGCCAAAACAGTGCATCCGAGGAAAACTCAAGTATCTTGGCGAAACCTTTGACATTATCACTAATGGTGTACAACGGATTGTATGTAACACGCAAATCTTTGAGCCATTACGAGTTTTTTCTGCATATCCTTTGAAAGCCATTCGTTCCTTCCTATAAAATAAATGTTTTATTTCCCATACATCCGAGCGATCGCCATGACGTCACGGCCATCGAGTGGTAGGCAAAAGGCCGGTGCCAGTTGATTAATTTGTTTACCGATAATTTGCATATGTCTCCAAATACTTTGCATGTACATGGTGTAAACAAAACCAGCGAACGCTCGTGTGCAACTATTTGCATCGTTTTCCCAGCTCTCACAATTAGGTCATATCTCTCAGAGGGACGAAGGTTGATAATGCTGATTCTTACAGTCGGGACTTAAGTAAGTAATCTATTTGTCTGTTTTTTTACGTTATGTTTTGTCATTTATTTAGGATAAAAAGTCACCATTGAAACTGGATTGTCATGCCGAATGGTGGATAAACAATACAGGTACGGGTGCAAGTATAGGTTTGTTGTTTATTCGTTTAGAGTTTATGTTTGTTAACATAAAACAGGGCAAATTGTGGTAAATAATAATGTGAAGAATTTGCTGGTGAAACCCAACATCTAGGGTTTCCCTTACTCTCCAAGCAGAGGTTTGGGTTTTGGCTTATTGTTGGCGCTATGTTGGGGCTTTTGGGAGGGGGCTTTATTTTTTCACTGGTATCTTTTGTAACCCAAAAAAGATACATGTGCAAAAAAGAAAGTAACAAAAAAAACAACATAAAAACACGCAAAAGAGGCCAAAACCCAAACCTCTACTTAGAGAGTAGGTTTTCTATAAGTGTATCAGATACATGTACGAAAAATGCAGGCACACCTGTCCGACGAGCTTGGGCACACAAAGGAGCACTGACGTCACCCACACAGCGGCGATGAGGCGGCGGGTCCGGCTGGTCGTGGCGGAGGACTTGGCCTTCAGGGGCTGGGTGATGACGTGTCGTCTGTGGTAACCAATCACAAGTAAGTACAGTAAATCTAATTATCCATTCCTACATTTTCACGAGTATTTTCACGTGCTTTGACACGAGACACTGCGCGTGGAGGTTTACAAGTGACGTGTTTAGTTTGCGTCATAAAAAAATCTTAACCAGCATTAAAACCTGCGACATTTTGGCAAATCTGATAATACTATAAACTAAAGTACATATATCTTGGTCAAGATTATAACTATTGCAGAAACTGTGCGCATTAGAGAACTGTCTCACGCACGAATAACGTATTGCTTAATTGCTTACGCACGGATGCCGCATGTAGCCACTTAAGCAATGTACATGTCCAGTGAACAGGAACAAAAACACTTGCAAGTACGCCAGAACAACTCCCAGAAAGTCTTTCTGAAACGTTCCCTTAGGCGGGGTCGAAGCATCGCCAATCGACATCTTTCTGCATCACGTACTAACGCAGCCTGTTTTTTTCCGTGAGTGGCAAACACATTAAAGGCATCGGTCCACCAGGGCTTTCAACAACAAAGCCGCGCTCCATCGGACCAACTCACGTAGAAAATCAACGCAATTTAACCCATAAACAGGATTATGTACAAAGGGCGCTACAGGGAGACGGTGCCGCGACATATTTTCCCTAGGACATCAATTTGCGTCGCTGGATCCATGGAGACTTTCTAGTCTGCGTTGAAGTCTATGAAATTACAATGAAAGCCATATCAACAACTTCCAGTGGACTAGCCTCCTGCTGTAGTGACTGCACAAATTTGTGCTGGGCCCAGGGCTACAGAATTCGAAACCGAAATGGGCGACGTCCTATCCACCATGAATTGTGAGGGAAGGATTTTGACTTTTGACCTACTTTACAAGTCTGTGCTCTCATATGTCTAACATAAAAGAGAATAGAATTCTCCTAGCTTCAGTTATATGAAATATCATTGCGAATATAACGTTACAGTTCTTCCTTAAAAAATTACCGGAAGTTTTAAAAGTTTCACGCACTTTTTGTTCCATTATGACAACCTTTGGCTTGGATTATGTGTTACGGCCCCAAAAATTAATTTGTCTCCCATAGACAAATTAACATGTCAACTCCCATAACCTACGCCGTTCTTAATCAATCTTCAGCCCAGGAAAGGACACTGCAGTCATGATGAGGTCATCCCAACGTGTAAACAGGAATAATAGCCGTCTCCACTACACAAAACCTGCTCTAATTACATTGTTACAGTAGACGGTATCACACTGATATGTCTGCCCCTATAAAGGCCTACATTCACCGTTGAAGAGGTCGACCAGTCAAGTAAGGAAGTACGCCAGAATAACAAAGAGAGATAACGATTTTTTTCAGATATTAAACATAATACCGATATTTACATTGAATTCTCAGCACATCGACGAAGGAAAAGGAATACTTGTAATTAACAGTAATTTTAGCCTAATATATAAACAACATTACGACAATGTCTTTTTTTAATGAGAACGTTTTAAAGAGCAAGTTTTAATACTTTTAATTTTCACCACAGCGCAATTCAGGCAACCAGTAAGATTGCCTGCGAGTCTGTATAGTTTACTACTATATATACTCTATATATATGTTCCAAATATCCCATTCATTCATAATACTCCAAAAATAACCTTCAATAAAATATATGTAGGCTTTTCTTTTTGTGGCAGCCATTTGTAGATGTCTAGAGGCAATTAAACCTGGTAATTCTAGAAATCCCCTCCATTACGTGGTCTATCGCTCAACCCTGGTCGCGTCCAGCCCTCTCCTTTCATCGAGCACCCCCATGAAACTCCTTCCTCTTCGCCCCCGCCGTTCTGCTTCGCCCCCGCCCGTTCTGCTTCGCCCCCGCAAAAAATCTGCTTCGCCCCCGTCGTTCCTCTACGCCCCCGGCGCAATTCTGCTTTGCCCCCGTCTTCTGCTTAGCCCCCATTGGCGCACAGCCTTTATGTTATTTTGCAG